AAAAGCATATGGAGAGAATGACACAGCCTAGGAGGTTTAGATGTGGACCAGTCCAGTCCAAACAGTGAAAGGTGAGCAAGCAAAAGTGATCTTCAGAGGAATATTGGTGTTCCCTGAGCCCAGGTTAGAAGCTGGATTGACTGAGGCCATGCCACATGGGAAGAGGTACATTATAGTTGCTTGGAAGAGATAAAGACATTTCTGTTCTGTGGTAAATATCTGTGGAAGCGGATATATTTTTGTTTCCCTTTTATTTGTTTTGGTTTTTGTTTTTTTTTTTTTTTTTTTTTTTTTTTTTTTTTTTTTTTTTTTTTTTTTTTTTTTTTTTTTTTTTTTTTTTTTTTTTTTTTTTTTTTTTTTTTTTTTTCTTTTTAACATTTGGTCAGATGCAAATTTGGCAAGCAAAATCTGCATGCTCTTTGTTCTGTAAAACATTGCTCTAAAACTCAATTTTGACCATGCCAGAAAGCAACACAGTAAAGCAATGTGTGTTAAAGAACGTTGTTTGAATTCAGGAGATCATGTATAGCCTTGAAGAATCTAACATAATGTACCCAGATACTGGAAAGTACAGTTCTAAYACACAAGTAATTTTAAGGGGATTCTGGAGCACTGAGAACCTTGACTATGTGTCTCATATGTAGGTTGTTATTTTGATTAAAACCTGGATGTATATGTATTTTTAACTACATCAGTATCTCCTGTTAACACATGCAGTCTGTTGGAACTGACTGTAGCTATTAGTTTTATTGTCCTCCTCAGAAAATGTCAGTTTTACTAACCAGATTRCTTTCTTACCTTTTTTAAAACTTGTTTTCAGACTGCCAGATTTTTTATCGCACACAGTTTTCTTGCCATTCACGTTACATTTGAACCTAATGTTGGCTGCATGGAAACGTCAATCCACATCCAGATTAATTTGAARCCTACCTGGAGCTTTTTCTCATGTACTAGCAGTCTGATCTCCAGCCCWTTCTAGGAATCCTTCTTTTGCAAGGCTTGTTCTTTTTGGTTAGCCAAGGGAAATGTCATGCTCTGCAAGTCTCCCTGTGCTGTGGAYCAGTGGCCCGTGTCACCGCTTGATGGAATGCAGCAGGGCCACTCATTTTCAGTCGGTAGCTTTGTTTTGGGAAGCACCTGTGTTCCGAGCTCATGGCGGTGCCTGCCCTCTCTGCACTGGTGCCAGCTGCTCAGGAAGAGGGGAGAAGAGGCTGGCTCTGTTCTGGCACCGTGAGTTGTCATTGTCCTGCAGTTACTCTGGGCCACAGTAACAGAGCAACAGTGGTGTGGTGTGACATTTCTGCTGAAGAAGGAAATAGCAACATAACTGACCTGATACAATCAAACAGACCCTGGTCACGAATATAGGATGAAAATATTTTTGTTTTCTCTAAGCCAGTGTCTGATGTGTACTACCTGTACATATCTTTGTGGTTTGACTTTGCAGATTATGTTGCTTTTGCTGYATTTTCTGCAAAAAACTGGCATGCTCCTTTGCAAATCCTCACATCTGCAGATGGCTTGGAAAAGGAAAGGCTTGTTTTATACAGAGGTTCATAATGCAGTTTCTGGTTGCCATCATTTTCAACACATCTGACCCACTCAATTTCCTGTCTTGAATCAACTTTCATTTCATTAAGTCCCAGGCTCTCATTTCTGTTGGTTTGGCTGGGCTCTGCAAGCAATCTGTTTTGATTTTAGAGYCTGAAAGAGGCTAAGCTTGGAAAAGAATCCAAGTCTTCCCAGGAGAAGTGTCTGTACTTCTTTTGCTCCAAACGATAATGTCCAAATGGGTTTTGTAGTTTTTATTTTACTGTTGGTTTGTTTGTTTGCTTTAATTTATAAAGTTCCACTTTCTTACAGAAATACTGACAACTCCAACAGTGTCATCATGTTGGTATGTTTAAACTCACAAGTGGGTTGCTTTTTGAGAATGCTAACAAATGGTCCAAAAATAGATTACCAAATCGTAGTATAATCGTCAGCTGTAGTGGTTCTGCATTACTGGAGCTTGAAAAAACAGACRCTGATCATTTCTTTCTACTGCCCAGTGACAGGACCCAAAGGAATGGCCTGAAGTTGTKTTAGGGGAGGTTTAGGTTGGATAATAGAAAAAGGTTCTTCATCCAGAGATTGGGGAGCGTGTTCCAATGCCTAACCAGAGAAGTGGTCACAGCAGCAAGCCTGATGGAGTTCAAGAAACATTTGGATGTGACTCTTGGGGATGCTGCTGTGCAGGGCTGGGTTGGACTTGATGGTCCTTGAGGGTCCCTTCCATCTCTGTGATTTTGTGACTGGAGCACCTTTATTACTTCACAGAAATTTGGTAAGTTATGGGCAGGCTGAACTCCCAGCAAGTATGAGCTCTGCTTGCTGTGTCCTGAGGAATGAGCAGGTACTGCATTTCTGGATGAAGGCCTTAYACATAGAACATACTTGTAAAATGCCTAGAAATTATATGGATATTTTTGCAGCAGCTTTCACCAAAGAATTAAGTCCTGATCTTCTAAGTCTGAGGTCAGAAAGAATGTCAACTACCTTTGTTGTGAATCCTCTGGTATCTAGGACTTCTGCAATTTTGCAACAAGGCCCTTAGGCAGCAAGAGTGAATTAAGCAAAKTTTTAGGTGGCATATTCAATACTTTTCTCAAACAGAAAAGATGTTATGTCTTCTTGAGCTCTCCTCTGAACTAGTAAATTACTGATACAGGAAAAAAAGCACATCCAAGTGAAGAGGAAAGGTGAGACAAGTTATTTCCAACTGATTTAAGAAACAGCAGAACAATGTGAAACTCTGTGTTGTATCCAGAAACACAATCAGGCTTTTTTTGCCTTACACTTTATCCTGTCTGTGAAGAAGATGAAATCTCTTCTCATTACATACACTAAGGCATTAGCTATGGAACAACAAAACTAAAGAATATTCTCAGCCAGGGAAGTTTGCATCTTTAGCTCTGAAAAACCTAGGATTTGTCTCTATAAATGCAATTCTATAATTACTGTATATTCTAGGTTACCATCATAATTTTCCAGCACTTCATCATGGTGTAATCTGAGTTACTCTCATACACAGCAGGAGGCAGAGAGGATGGCTACAGCTTTGAAGAGCTCAGCAGCAAAGTTGCAAATGAAGCCAGTGCACAACCAGGAGAGAAAGACAAACATTGAGGCTTGTCAAAAAAAGCATTCAAAGCCAGGTTACAGCAGCAGCTACAGTTGAGCCCAACTGGAAAGAACTATCCTCAATTTTCTGTGGACTCTGTCAGCCCAACACCAGCTGCAGACAGCTCTGGCAGTGGCAAAGGAAGACTCAAAGCCCAAATTCTCTGCTGGAGTCTCCTGTTTTCAACTCTGCATTTTCCCAGCCACACTTATGAATATTTGCTGCAGCACTCAACAGTACCAAAAGATGAGAAGATGAATGTTCCTTCTTCCTATTTTCATAGGGAAATAGGAAAACTGCTCCCCATGTACTTAATCCTGTTCTTMTTTTGGAACTGAACAGGAAGAGGTGTTTCATACATAAGCCTAAACTTGCTTTGTGTCCTGCAATCTGAAGCTACTCAGTTCTTCAAATTAGAGTGAATAATTACTTTTCCTTAAAGCTACTCAATGCAAGCCAAGTTGCATTTTAAATTACCAAGTTATGTAAACATCTAAATTAACATTATTTAGCATTTAACTGGTAAAACTGCAGCAGTAAGGTAGTTGTACTTGCATATCAGACAAATCATCAAAAACTAGTTTTATCTACTGCTATGCATGCAGTTTGGTAGCATGCAGCTATATGGAGGTAGCTTAGGTACTGAAAATGGCATCTGGAATTCAGTATTCTACCTAGGGAATTTCACTTAGAAGTTATGTATGCTACAGTAAAATATAAAGTCAGTCAAATTCCACTACAGCCCCCATCTTAAGTATTTTGTGGAAAAAACCAGGATAATAAAATCCTCAACAAACCACTGTACCAGGGCAAGGAGATTGCTTTTGCTACTCAGATTAGCTCAGACATCTGTTAGCAGCACTTAAAACTGTGTCAGTATGTAATCTATGGAAATTTAATAATTCAGTGCTTTCCAGTACAGTTCTGCTCACAAAAGTCATCAACAGAGAATACTACTTTTTCAAATTGAAATGGTTTGACCAGCACCGCTAAGGAATTTCACAGCATAGACAGTAATGCATATTTGGGAGAGAAAAAAACTAATATGGATACATACACCCCTTCCAAAATATGCTTTGCTTTTGATGCAAATAAAGTTTCAGTGAGTRAGGGAGGCCTGTCTTTAATCATTGAAGGAAACTAGTCTGTGAAGACAAAAATCAGTTGAACTTACAGTAACATCAGTGTATCAAAACATACTCTACAAGTAAACCTTAGCACATTAACATCTTTAAACACAGTAGACCATAGTGAATTTGACTTAATTCCAGTCATTGTCCTTATGCAAATTGATGCAAGTCAGTTAAAATGCCGAACTAGAGTTGACTTTTWAAATGCTGAACTACATTTTGCTTTTAAAACTCTTTAACTATTACATTCTATTTATTGCCCTTTTATCACAAGATAAAAACACTGATGAAAACAAAAGCTGAAGTAGGAAAGATTTAAAATGTTAAAGTAGATRTGACTCCAGGCTGTCCACTTGCCAAGTCACAGTTTAAAATCTGTCCTATACATCCCCCATTTCCCTCTCCCCAAGGTGTGCATCCTCAGGAGCAGCACTGCCTTGCATGTACCCAATTGTAGAGCACATATTTGGAGTGCTTCAAGTTCCGTCTAGGYCCATGGAATGATTTTGATTATCAGTTGAAATAAATATGAGCCCTCCAGAAGCTTCAGGGGGCTTCAGTGTAATATTCCTCAGTATACCACCCGGCTCCTTCTCTTAAAATTGAAGAATAAAGTTAAGCACTTGACAAATGGTCACAGTTCAGCCATAGACACAGCAACACTTTTGCTTAGCATGCTACAGCAGAAACTTTATTTAGTTCTTTTTGAAAATATTTGCAATCAAAATTTATGTTTGTAAACTCACAGAAATAAGCTTTAACATATAGGCTGTATACAACTCAAATACAGGTAATATTTTTAGCAATAACTTACAGATACAAACTAATGATAAACTACAAATTCACAAATATTGTAAACATTTTGCACAATTGTCAGTCCTTTCTTTTAGGCAAAGTGCTCTTTTGATGACAAATAAATTAACACACACATAACTAGAGCAGACTACTTCCAGACAATACAAAAAGGTGTTTCATAAGGCTTGTAAACAATTTGATAGTTGCTTATGCAGAATCCATAAAAGTGTCTTGCAGGCTAAACAGACATACATACTCGGGCAGCAAAAATGATCTTGAAAATGCTTTAGGTGTTAAATAAAAAGTTAACATTAATATCTTTCAAATTGTATTTTCATTACACTATGACTTAAGGTTACATCTTTAATTGTTTAGGTCCCTGACAAAAAGGAGTTAGGTGTGACTTAGTGGCAGTTGTGTCATTGAATGGGGTAGCAAAGGCTGAAGTCCAAGAGCTGTAGGTGAATGAGCTACAAAAACAAAACATTTACCAGTCAACTTCAYTGAAAGTAGCAAAAAAAATTTGAAGTCAGTAAATCCCACTGGGTAATGATATTTCATTGTCCCAACCCTGCAGCATGTTCTGTTTTYCCTAGCTCAGCATCTGCACTCCTCCACCCACAACCCGCCTTAACGCCACTGCTTTGGAGCAAAACAAGCTCAGGCCACATATGCAGCTCAGCCTGGCTCTCCCAAAACTTTCACAGTCCCTCCTAATCACAAATAGGAGCCCAAGCTCTTGGCTTGCTGGGTCATAAAACAGTGACTGAGGCACTTTTGACCATCAGGCTCACCCCCTCCCTCCCACTGTGCGTTATTGTGAGGGAAGCTGAAGCTGTCAGAGAATCTGTTGGCTTGAGCATATTCACAGTCGATGGCATAAAAGGCACAGAGCAGGTGGCAAACAGTTTTCACTAAAATTATGTATTATTAAAATACGTGACATAGATGTTTAAATAAATGTTTAATTTCTTATTATTGTTTTAATAGTCTGGAAGAAGCACAAATAGTAGTCTTCATACTCAAACCTTCATCCATGCTATTACAGTGAAGGACTACTACTTCCGTAATGGGGTATAGATAGCAAATACAGTATTGATATATCCTATAGAGACTCGTAAACATTAAAACCCATCAGTTTTTTTTAATCAGTGTTTAGTAAACTGTTCTTGCTACAGCTGATAATGATTTTACTAGAAGAAAAACAGCAAAGCTGTTATACCTACCATCCATGTAGCTGTGCAGAGCAGTCAGCATAGTCCCATCCTGGGGTACATATGCAGAGTATGCCATTTCTTCTAACATGGGTGGAGACAACCTGGAGGGCTGAACTGCTGTGACAGGAGCAGTAGATGAATGATTGGGACTAACATGTTTCTTATGACGTGCTCTGCAATTCTGAAACCACACCTGAAAGGAGGGAAACATACATCACGTTGATAGGTTGCATTCAACATTGGCACAACAACAACCTTGGAGCTTATCTTAAGCTGAGTTTGCATAGTTAATTGGGCTTTTGATACAATGCTGACAGTTCAAATGGAGAAATATCTATTCTAAACCTACAAGTGTGGTCAAGTCAGGAATGCTTCTTTAGTCCCACAGCACAGCAAGGACAGGGACAGGCACAGTGAGGGACAAGGCATCTCCTGGGGCTGGTCAAGGGTCAYCTCCCCAGGCCAAGCACCAGGACCTGCAGCCCCACTCTGCTCAGACTGCACCCCTCAGCACATCCCAGACATCTCTTCTTCCTGTCTGGATGCTGCGGACAGCAAAGCATGCTTTTCATAAGGATACCTCCTTGCCTTTTCACATGGAAAAGCATGCACACTTCCTTTTTTTAATTAAGGATTGATTGCAGCTGCCAAATACCTCATTTCTACAGAAACACTCTGTCATTCTTCCAGCCTAGAATGAGCCAAGGTAACTCAAAATGTATCTTTATTTCTATTCACATATAAATATTGAATTTATATTATATTCTAAAAATCACATTTATGTATAAACAAGCATCCATATTATGTTTGCTGAGAGACATATTCAAGCAAAGATTTCAAGTTTGTGCTTCAGTTTTGGTTGGTATGGGTATATATTTTAACTCTGCTCTCTGGAACAGATGATCAGATATTCACTTGCTCCTCTTGTGTGCCACAAGACACTTTCAGAAAGAGTGCAGGTCTTAWAAACAGACTACTAGAGTCAGAAATATGTATTTGGAATAACTTAATTACAATTTCTATACTATTTAGGCTGCGAAGTTTCTTTCTAGAGGACTTTTAATCCTCCACACAAAGCACAAGAAGAATACTGCAAGTTTTCCAAATGAAAAATAGGTCTTGTTCTAGACCTATTACTAAGGATGTTGTCTGAAGTTTAAACAGATTAGATMTTTCTCCATGTCAGAATAACCTCACCGAGTAAATGATGATAGAGCATTTCCAATGGATGAATACCAGAATTTGTGAGTCAAGTAACTTCACTCTGTTACCTGTATAACACGCCTGCTCAAGCCTGTTCTTTCTGCCAGTTTCTGAAGTGTTTGTGCATCTGGATTGTTGTCCTGAGCAAACTGTGCTTGCATAACCTGAAAAGGCAAGATAGGAGATTGCAAGAGCATTTGTGTCGAAAGCCACATTAGACAGACTTCTCAGACTGGTAAAATTCCTTGCCTGTCTTCAGGAAACTGCTGTAATCATTAGTCTTTAGAGAGCCCTCAAAACACTAAAAAGAAAAACAAACCAACAAGAACAAACCAAAAAATCA